CCCAGCACATATATTGAGGATACCAAGAGATCCTCGGGATACCAAGAGATCCCCAGCACATATATTGAGGATACCAAAAGATCCGCGGGATACCAAGAGATCCCCAGCACATATATTGAGGATACCAAGAGATCCTCGGGATACCAAGAGATCCCCAACACATATATTGAGGATACCAAGAGATCCGCGGAATACCAAGAGATCCCCAGCACATATATTGAGGATACCAAGAGATCCTCGGGATACCAAGAGATCCCCCAAGTATTTATGTTTGGGACTACGGAACGGAATCCCGGGAGATCCCCTGTCGATATTCTGTGAGTGTAAAAGCATGAAGGGTGATGCCGTGCACTTTCTGCTTGATGTGTGTAGTCGTTGTTATCAATTCAAGTGTTTTAACGGGGTAGATTCCCTTGCTGCTGTGATTCTCTGTGTTGGAACCCATAGTGTTGTCAATACCTCGCCGTATATATACTTATATATATTCAATACTTCAACCTCAATAATCTCTACATTTTTGACTCAATTAATTTCTCAACTAAATTTTCCTTAAATCATCTGAGGTTGTATTCTATGTAAAAGGAATTTCTACTAAGATGTAAATTATTAAATTCCATGGTAAAGGTAATAATTCATTCGATGTTGTATTCTAATTAAAATGGTACTCTCTTTACTCAAATGACTTCTAAAAATTACTTCATCTTTTCTCGCTGGCTTTCCTAATTAGTTTAGAATTTGTAATTTACTTATATTAGGTAAATGAGACTTCTTGAGCATCTTGAGTGCATTTGTACGGACATTATGTATCGTATAGCATGTGGATTTCTCTTGTTAAGAGTGAGATGGAAAAATATGGGAGCACAAGGTGCCATGTGTGTTGAAGGTTCGGAAGTTGAGATTTATGATATGAGAAACCGAGGATTTGAGATGGTCGGGATTGTGTATTAGGCATGATGTGAGTGATCGAGTTGGCATTGCCTTCGTTATTTGGATACATTCTTACTTGTCTTTGTTCCGTTTATGTCAATGTTGATTTACTTGGTTATCTGATTTACTTGGTGTCGTTCGTTACTACCCGTGTTCTCTCTTTATTGTTCCTACTGTTTGTAATTTGATTTTCTCTCCGCTGTTGATGTTACACTGTTCTTTATCTCTTTTATTATCATATCCTGTTCATTTCATTTGACCAGTAGGTGTTTTGACTGTTCCTCGTCACTACTCCATCGAGGTTAGTCTTGATACTTACTGGGCACCGCTGTGGTGTGCTCATCTACACTTCTGCACATTTTTTGTGCAGATCCAGGTATTGTTCGCTAGTAGCTGTGCGGATCCTTGCCGAGGAGACTCAAGGTAGCCCTTCTGCTACGTTCGTAGGCTTCGGAGTCACCTTCCTATTTTATATTCTCACTGCTGTACTTATTTCCATATGGTTGTGTTTAGAAATGGTAGCGAAACTCTGCAGAGCTTATGACTTGTACCACCGGGTTTTGGGAAGATGTTTATTGAATAAAGGATTTATTTCAGAAGAATTTTAGATGTTATTATTTATTGTTATTTTTCCGCAAATTATTAGGCTTACCTAGTCCTTAAGACTAGGTTCCATCACAAAATCCAACGGAGGGAAAATTGGGTCGTGACACTCACCTAGGCCCTTTATCTTGAATCTTTGATGAAGAACATGTTTTGCCTTAGCTATCAGTGCCTCATCATTACTAGTTATAATTAGATCATCAACATATACCAGGATAATCACCAAACCTTCACCCTTTCTCAAAGTAAACACAGAATAATCATGGTTACTCTGCACAAAACCTCCCTCAGTTACAGCATCAGATAGTTTGATATTCCATTGTCTTGAAGCTTGTTTAAGCCCATATAAGGACTTGAGTAGCTTGCAGACCTTTTGCTCCCCCTGTCTTATGAAGCCTTCAGGCATATCCATTTAAACTTCTTTATAGAGATCACCTTGTTAAAAAGCATTGTAAACATCAATTTGATATAGGTTCCAACCCTTGGAGACTACTAAGGTTATTACTGATATGACTGTGACCATTTTCACCACTGGTGAAAATGTATCATGGTAATCAAGTCCTTCTTGTTGACTATATCCCTTTGTAACAAGTCTAGCCTTGAACCTTTCAACCTCACCATTAGCTCTATACTTAATTTTATACACCCATTTGGACCCTACAGTATGTTTTTCATGTGGTAAGTCAACTACTTCCCATGTTCTGTTGTCTTCTAGTGCTTTGACCTCCTGTTCATAGCTTCTACCCATCTTGCATCCTTTACAACCTGCCTGAAGTTCTGAGGTTCTACCAGACTGGAGAAGTTTGCTAGGTAGGATTGATAGGTAGGAGTAGTCTTTCATAAAACAAATAGTTGGCTATAGGATATTTGCTGCTTGTCTTCCCATATGCTATGTAGTGTTTCATCCAGATGGGATCTCTAGACTCTCTAGTTGACTTCCTGATAGGAGGCTGAGATCCTTCTGCTTGCATGTTCTCAGATGGTGGATCAGTTATAGTGGGCAAGGGATTTGTTGTTGGAGCAGTTGGTTGAGACATCACATTCTCTTCTTCTGTGGCTATTTCCTATGCATCCGCATTTTGATTTTGTTCCTCATTAGTATGATTAATCTCTGAGGTAGAAACATCATAGTTAGGTTGTTCCAAGATACACTGAGAAGCTACAGAAGTCTCTGCTGTTGAAGATGCTCCATGTACTCTCTCGAGTTTGAAGTTGGTACCAATGAATCATATTCATTCCATAAACTCTTCAACTTAGTAAAGTAACTTGAGACTGAATCAGTTCCTTTTGACAAATTGGCAATAACTCTGTGCAGTTGAAAGATACACATTCGATTCACCTTATCAAACCTCTCCCTCAGATCTTCCCAAACAAGATGTGCATTTGAAGCATATGCAATTTCACTTAGAAGTTCAGTGGAAACTGTATTCATGAGCCATGATAAGACAATGGCATTACTAGTTTCCCATTGCTCATGCAATACAGCAGTGAATGACTCCTGTGTACAAGTGTCAGTCACAAACCCTAACTTCCACTTTCCTAGATGGGCAATTTCCATCGTCCTGCTCCATAAATCATAATTTTCTGACCCAGTAAGCTTCACAGGAATCAGAACAACACCAGAGTATATCAGATGGCCCAAGGTACAGAGGATGAGTGTAAGAAATTGCAGTTTCCGCCATTGATGAGCAGAGAAAAAAAATCAGCTAATTGAGAAGAAGGAACATATCACTAAGATAGAGATAGCCAACCTCAGTGATTGACGAGCATCGGTGGCTCTGATACCATTTAAAATCTACATGATCTGCCATCGATGAAGGAGCAGTGAACTTGATGCTACTTCTATGGAGTTACAGAGCATTTGAGTGAATGAGCTAATGAGAAGATGTTAAACTATATTAATTAATGCTGCTTCTCTTCATTAACAGCACAAAATATATATACATGTGATATAGCTAGCTAACTTCACTAATGAGAAGATGTTAAACTACATTAATAATATTAAAATTTGTTAATATATATATAGTGAGTGATATAACTTAAAACTCATTGATTCTACATTTGGCAACTGCTATTTCTCCATTTACACACCAACAAAACTTTAATGGGACATTATTGGTTGTTCTTTTTGTTGGTGTAAGATTTGTCCAATGATGCAACGAAGAAAACCTTAACAAATAAAGATCATTCCTAGTGCTCAAAAACTTTTTGAGTGCCCTTAGGTTTGCTGTCCATCAAAGAGGAACACATCATTTCTCTTACCTTTAGTTGAGAGATATATATTCAGTTAACTTTCCATTTTTGATGCAACATCACTACTAACGGGATGAAGTGAAGCACAGATATTATTGTTTTCCGGCCGCTTCAAAAGATGACACTATTATTGTTTAACTATTTAAATAGTCTTTTTAAAAAGTCTTTAACCGTAAATATTACAACAACAACAACAACAACAATATACTTAGTATAATCTCACATAGTGGGATCTGGGGAAGATAGTGTGTACGCAAACCTTACTACTACCTTTATGGAGGTAGAGAGGCTGTTTCTAATAGACCCTAGGCTCAAGCAAGAATAAGTACCACGATAATAACAAGAAAACAAGACGGGACAACACCGAAAAATCATGTAAAAGCAGCATACACCACAAGATAGTAAGATGATCGAAATATATTTAAAAAAACAGGCAGGTATTCAAATAAGCCTACTACCAACCAAATGCGATAGTACGTACTAACACTACCAGTATGAATAATCTAGACTACTTAACCTATTATCCTAATCTTTGACCTCCACACCTTCCTATCACGGGTTATGTCCTCGGTCAGCTGTCATGCCTAATCACCGCACCCCAACTCTTCTTCGGCCTACCTCTACCTCTCCAATGGTCTTCCAATGTCAACATCTCACACCTCCTTACCAGATTGTCTGTGCTTCTCCTCCTCACATGTCCAAACCATCTAAGTCGTGCTTCTCGCATCTTGTCCTCAATAGGGGCCACACCTTGTCCCAAATAACTTCATTCTGAATCCTATCTAATCTCGTGTGCCCGCACATGTTGGGGCGTACGCATGAATTTTTTTAAGGGGTGTCAAAATTTATAGAAGAATAACTTTAATTATCATACTTCTAGACAAGAAATAACTTTAGTCTATTGGTTAACTGTTAAGTTAGAAAAGATCATAAGTTGATCAATTCTACTTCATCGCATTTTTTAACTTCAGAGGCTCTCTCAAATATCTTTTTATTTTATTTTATTAAATGAGCTTGTTGAGGGTTGAATCTCTTACCTCTTAGAGCAAAATCAAGCAGATAGCCAACACCCCAAGAGACAATTTATGTCAAATGGTGTCATTTTTTCCTACTTATCCATTTCCTCACAGTATTAATACATATATTTAGTAAAATTTTCCGGCGAAGCGGTATCGCGTAACACCGCTTCCTTAGGTGTGCATCCGCCCTGCGCACATTCATCTCAACATCTTCATCTCTGCTACCTTCATCTTCTGGACGTTGGAGCTCTTGACTGGCCAACACTCAGTTCCATACAACATAGCTGGTCTGACCACCGCTCTATCAAACATACCTTTAAGTTTTGGTGGTACCTTCTTGTCACACAAAACACCAGAATCAAGTCTCCATTTTATCCATCCCGCCCCAATACAATGTGTGACATCTTCATCAATCTCCTCGCCCCCCTGTATAATAGACCCAAGGTACTTAAAACTTCCCCTCCTAGGGATGACTTGTGAATCCAGCCCCACCTCACTTTCCACTCCTTGAGTAGCACCACTAAACTTACACTCCAAATATTTTGTCTTGGTTCTGCTTAGCTTGAAACCTTTAGACTCCATGGTCTGTCTCCACACCTCTAACCTCGTGTTAACACCGTCCCGCGTCTCGTCAATCAAAACAATGTCGTCTGCAAATAACATGCACCATTCAATTTATTTTCTATAGTTCTTTAACATTTAGTTTTTATTTCGAAGAATCGAGATTTGGACGGTCTATAGGATAAGGTTTGCGCTGGCCAACCTATGTCGTCCCTATATGCATCCAATAAAAAAATGATTTATAGTGATTTAGTGAAAGGAAAAGTAAACTCTATGAGATAAGGAAATTTGTCCACATTCAGAGGACGAGAATTTTCCAATCGGACTGTAACACGAGAACTTAGCAATATAATTTGGTTGTAGTGATCATAGTGTGGCAAGTTTGGGAAATTTGATTGGACGAATTCCTAGGCATGGTAAAAAGTTTTGCTGCTTTTGCACCTTTTCATAATTGAAGTCTACTCATGTTTCAACTTCCTTAATTTTTTACAACCACCAACAACGCACTTGTCAAGATTTTAAACTTCAAAGACAACGAAGGTAACCCTTTTTAGAACTTAATTATTGTTATTTTTGTACGTTTAGTGACAGATTGTACGTCCATCTTGAAAAGCTATAACATAAGATAAAAATATCAGATTAGTTATATAATGCTCGTATCTATAAGGGCATAAATAAAAGTTTTTTGGTTGCTTATTACTTAAGCTTAATTAACCCTTTGAATTAACCCTTTTTTCTTTCAGTATTTGAGAGACAGTTAGGTTCTATTGATGTGTGACAAGTAAATGTATGACAAACCATAAAAGATTATCTGAAACCTAAACTCAGCAGGTTTCAAATAAATGTACATTTTCTTTAATTTCCTTAACGTATAGGAGTAAATACAAAGTTGGAGCTAAAAACTATAGCATAAACACATCGATACTAACTTTCATCCAAACAACTAATAATGGAGCGATTTTGTATTTCTCAAATATAAGGACATTGCTGCGTATAATAGACCTTTGTAGTTTGACTTTTTCCCGAATTCGTACATAGCAAAAGGTTAGTGTAATGGGCTATCCTTTTCGAATATGAGGCTAGGCCAAAAGTTAAAAGTTCAAACAAAGTGGTGTTTCTATTGACGTTTCTCGTGTATCAGGTCCAATGAACTCAAACCAACTACAAATGTGGCACAAATTATTGCTTTGTTTCACAAGCAAGGTGAAGGAGTTTTCAATGAATCCTGACAAAAAATGAATAGTGAACGTGGTCCTTATTGAATACTCATCAACATTACATGACCACTCAACTTGTAGATATAGTCTTCCAAAATAAAATTTTCATGTGACATTTTTGTCTTTGTAAATTATTTTTATCTTTTCTTGTTTGGTAGAGGTGGACCAGGAAATTGAAGGAAATGAAAGTAGAAACGGAACAGTTATTAGTGACATTGTAATTTGCATGACCTTTTAACATCCATTGACAACGACTTCATTTATTTATTTAACTTAAAATAAATTAGATAATAATAAAGAAAAAGTGGATTGAGAGGCGCCACCCCCCACCCCCCACCCCCCCCCCAAAAAAAAACCCCGGGACACCGGTTCACTTCGTATTAGACAAAAGATTCATCTCTTTGTAGTTTGTACTTCATGGTTTACTAGAACTATAATAAGGGAAACGGGAAATGAAAAACAAAAACGAAAAAAAAGCAGGAAAAGAAAGAGAAATAATCAAAATGATCCACTTAAGAAATGGAAACAACTAATGATTACTTTAACTTTTGCTGGAAAATAAATTAGTAGGGTATTTAGGTTGTAATCTCGAGTATCAAGGTTGACGTTACTGCTAAAATGAACAAAAACTTAAGATAATTATAAATGAAATAAGTTAAGTTCATTAAAACAAACAAAAAATTCCTTATTTGTGTAAAGTATTTATTACGAATAAAAGACAATCAAACAACGTAAAATCATTTCATTAATAAACAGTTATAAAATGACATTTTGCTTCATGCTAAACTCACGCTTAGAGATGACTGCAAGATACTTGATAACTAAGTGGGGCTCCAAGAAAAAAGAGAGAAATGTTAGGTAAGAGTAGTTGAAATTGTAGGAGGGAGCAACTATTATTGGAGCCAAGGTTACCAAGCTGAGCTATTCGCTCTAAAAGCAGGCCTCCAGTTGGCATGCGAGATTCAGCTCATTCAAATAGAGATTGAGACAGACTCGTTAGAAGTAATCAAGAGCCTTGAACAATATTACCCTTCATTTGACGCTATTATTCGTGATTGCAGATTTTTAATGCTTCGGTTAGAGACAGTGGTGGTCAGGCATACTTTCAGGCAGGTAAATCAAGTGGCGCACTTTTTGACTAAGGAAGTTTCTAAGCAGTCCAACCTACATCAACTGATATATTTTGCAGCTTCACCTCCATTTGTTGAATCCCAGTATCTGGCGGATAGAGAAGGAACACATTTTATTAGGCTTACTACAGATAATATTTGTATTAAGCTAGCGAGCGGAACTTGGCAATCAAAATGCCGCAAGAGGCATTTGTTTAACCAAAAAATAGGAATTTCGGTCAAAGCTTGCTATTAGAAGAACTCGGGTTACTGATAATCAACTAAAAATAAGAATAATTGATATAAACGATAGTCGGATAGAAAGCAAAGTAAATCGGTGTATTTCAATAGTATATCGTGTCCTTACAAACGTTTATTCCTCACCTTTTATAGCTATTTCTAAGTAATACGTTTCTTTCCTCCCATAATGGAGTTATTATGGGCAATTAATGACATTTAATGTAACGTTATAATTGGCAATCGTAACTGTTCAGTACAGATTCAATAACATTTCCCGTAATTAATGCTCATTAACTACCAATAATACGTATCTATACTTTTTTGCTATCTAGGTTCATTCCTCCGATGCTACTTCAAATTATCAAGAGGTTCGAGCACCCATTCCTTCTGGTTTTCTTGGATCTTTGCTCGTGCCTGACTAAAGCTCGTGCCTCTTCAACTATTCTCTGCCAACTGTCATTCTTTTACTGACCCACGTGTCATGACATATCATCACATAATTAATTCAATATACTAACTTGATTTTTCCCAATACAGATAATTCCCCCACTTGCCATTTATTCAACAATAGAATATTTGAGAAGTGGATCTCATTAAAGCGGGAATTTTTGCCGTCATTATACCTTTTCCGAAACTGACGCTTTATATGTCACTTCCATTTAACGATCGTGACACGTGGCATCTTCTGATTGGATCTGCAATTCTTTAGCGTCTTTTAGGGCTTTATTGCGGCTTCATCAATTACGAAGTGAGAGTTTCCATCATGACTTTTCCATCATTACACCTTTTTCTTGACAGTTGCAATATAGCTTTTGTTTTTGTCTTTCTCATAAAAAGTTACCTATCTTAGAATATTCATTCTAGTTTTCTTCCTCGTACAGCCATGTCTTCTTCAAACCCTAATTCCCGAAGAGTCCCCATTGTTGATGAACTTTCCCTTGCTCCTGTTAGAAGCAGAAGAGGGGGAAGATTGCGTAGTTAAGGGTCTTCATCTATACGAGGTGTTTCTTTACCTCCAACGAGTTCCACCCCTCCTGCTAGAACTAGGGGTTCTCTTAGGGGTGTCAATGGTTCGGTTTGACCGGTTATTTTATAAAATTAGTACCATGCTAATTTTTTGGTTATTCTATTATGTATAACCAAAACTAAACTTTTCGAAACCGTCCCAATCATATCGGTTTCTCTTCGGTATCGGTACGTTTCGGTTAATTTTTTGTATTTTTTTAAATATTATGTAGAAGTCACTAGTAGAAGTAGAATGCAATAATATATGTTCTTTTATAGAACGTAACAAAACTCTCTAGACATTTTTACTGTTTAAAGGGTGATGAATTAAAAAAATGAAAGATGGCTAGAGTATAGATCCATCAACTATTCTGCAACAATGTAAAAGAAACCAAGCAAAACCAAAGAAAATATAAATCACACGAGTGGAAAGATATTAACCAAGTTAGGACTCAAGAATAAAGTCTATAGATGATTAAATATTCAAAAAGATAAATCTAAATTATATGAGAGGAAACATATTCAATACATTATAGTTTGTTACTCAAAATCGCTAGAATATTTTATGTCTTACTAAGATACTTGAAATAACTTAGTTTAAGTAGAATTAGCAAAATAGGTTTTAGGAAGTAGTATTTTGAGTTTAATTACTTGTTGATTTGTAACAGTTTTCAAAATTCCAAGGCCCAAAGAAAAATTTAATGCATTAATATTTTTAAACTTACTATATAAATATTTTTTTCACATGTAAAATAAAAAACCTACTCTAATTATCGGTGCGGTTATAGATTTATATAAAAACCTGCGATTTTCTTAAAAGAAACCTAAAAATCGGTTCGGTGCGGTACGGTTCGGTCGGTTTAATCGATTTTCGAATATCCATTGACACCCCTAGGTTCTCTTTCACATAGATCTTCTTCTAGGAATAAAGACTCTAGTGAACCAGTTCGTGAACCTTTATTAGATGAAATTGTCCCTTCTGAACTATCTTTTTACTCTGATAGAGAATCGACTAGGAATCAAGTTTCTTCTATGTCTTCTTTGGATCGTGCTGATGTTTACCCTTCTCAGATTACCGAAGGTTTAATCTCTGTTGTCCGTAGGGATTGCCATTGGAGACCTGACTTCCCTATCATAATTCCTAATGCAAACCAGAGAATTACATCTTACATGACGGGATTTTCTTTTGCGTATACATATCCCTTTACACTGAATTTTAAACCCCCCATTGATCCTGTTATCATTGAATTCTGCCTTTTTTTAACGTTTGTCTAGGACAAATTGGCCCCATTGTGTAGAGGGTTGTTGCTTGTCTAAGGCACTTAGCAAGGTTGGCTAATTTGCCTTTTACTTTCTTTCATTTGGTGAACCTCTACTCCCCTAAGCTTTTCCGACATGGGATCTTCACTTTAGTAGCGAGGAGTAAGAGAGTACTAGTTAGCCCCGAGGA